GCAAAAGACATAAAAGTTAAGATGCATATAACTTTTGTACTATGAAACAACTAAATAAAACATGGTTATTATAAATTTTCCCCCAAGTAATTTACAAAAGTTCGGATATAAGAAAATTATAATGTATATTAATAATCATATCGGACTTTTATTATTCAACAAAACTTTTACTTAAAATGTAGCAAAAACTTATACATAAAAAAAAAAATATCTAAAAAGGATTTAAAATTCCAATTGAGGATTTCTTTTTCTGTATGTACGTATATATAGTATTCAAATTTTCTAACCTAAGAGAAAACCGATAAAAAAAATTTCAGTATGAACTATGATGAGATTCTCAAAGTATTAAAAAAGATGAAATAAAATGCAATTCGAATATATAAAAATCCATGCAAATATCATAAAAATTGTTCTTCCAGAAAAAAAAAAAAAAAAAAAAAAAAAAAAAATGCATAACATTTTTATGATTCAATAATATAGTTTAGAGCAGCAAATATTTTTTTTTATATTCAATCAATTTTCAATTGTATTAAAATCGAAAAATCAATAAAAACTTTGTAAAAAATTTTGCTACATCAAAATTTACGAAAATTTGGAAAGTCTGATTAAAAACTTACTTTCACTACTGATACAGAAATCAAGGAAATTCGAAAAATGTCTGTCTATCGAAAGCTGGTTTTTACTACTAATTCTAAATTTACTAAAATTTTTATAAAAATTGAAGAATCTAACTGTCATTTCGTTACTATTGATACTAAAACTATAGACAATTTAAACTGTTCCGTCTGTGTGAAACTGACTTTTACTACTGTCAACAAAATGTATTTTAAAAAAATTTAGAGTGTTGTCTGACTGTAATTGCCTTTTACTACTGATGCGTTAAAAATACAAAATAACTCAAACAAAATGACACTATTAAATTTTTTTTTTTTTCCAAATGAAAAAATTTCCAGCGATACTTTTATATACACTCATTTCCTATTAAATACACAATATATACGTACAAAATGATGTGAAAGATTTAAGTGTTATTGTATATAGCGCGTTTAGTATATTTATCACACGAGTTGGAATTTATCTCGATGCTAATGTAAATTACGTTGTGGTCGAGCCACACGATAATTCGTTCAGAGAATGCAAATCGTGAACGTTAAAATGAAATTAGGGAATACACTTTCATATATAGATTCAGGAAATAATTCCCTCGTTTTAATTCCGGACTCTCTCTCTCTCTCTCTCTCTCTTTTTTTTTTTTTTTTTTAATTTATTATCTTTCAGGGGAAAATCGAATTTTTTCACATACTAATTATACAAGGGGAATTATTTAAAAATTACTAATTAACAACTTTATTATTAGTTTTCAACGATTTTTTAATTACATTTATTTTTCATTTATTTTTTATTCTTAATCAAAAGAATTCTAAATCTGGTTAATTGAGGTACAGTGATTTTATTTATGGAGATTGTTTTTCTAAATAAAAATATTGTTTTTAATGTTTTTTCCAAAAAAAAAATGATATTTGTAATTTAGGTAAAATTATCGACAATTTAATCAATAATTATTTAACTTTAAATATAAATTTTAAGATTTACAATCTGTATTGTACTATTTACCATTTGGTTTGTAAAATTTTACAATCTGTATTGTAAATAGTACATAATCTATTTTCTCAAAACGCAAATATTTAAAAAAAATTAATTAACAATTGATTTATATAATTGTTTAATATATAATATGCTAGTTTTCATAGTTCATAAAAATTTCAAACACTATAATATAAGTGAATAATAGAAAAAAGAATCAAAACTTTAGAATCACCCAGTATTTAATATTAAAAGACCTAAGAGTCTCATACACGTGTATATCTCATGTATTATTAAACTGGACTTATTAAGTTTTGGTTTGCTACTCTCTAGCATGAAAAGCTTAGTGAACATAAACAATATATTAAATTTTCGTAAAATAGTGTCTTTTTTGAAATTTTGATTCAAAATCATCATAAAAAGACTGCACTGATTAAAAATGTCATTGAAATAAATTCTATTAAAAAAAAAAAGAAGGAAAGAAAGAAAAATTTTTCTAACAAAACAAATTATCATATTTCAATTGAAATGATATTTTAATTAATTAATTTAAATTTTTTATTTTCAAATTTAAAATTATTAAATGTGAAAGATAATTTTCTATCTGATAATAATGAAACAAAACACAAATATAAAAGTTATAAAAACTCATAGAAGTATTAAAATACTTTTTATATTTATGGAAATATTAAAATGTTGACAAAGGTGAATATAAATAATTCCTGTCAAGTTTTATCGTTTGCCTTTTAAAAGAACAATGAATAATTCTTTTTTTCTCATTGTCACTGAGAAATGCAAAAGACAATGGTTTCAAAAATACCCACATATAAAACTGAAGTTGTAGGTTTATCACGATGGTTTATCCAGTCTAGACTTTCTGAGATGGCTACAGGGTATTTAATAAAAAAAAAAAAAAAAAACTTGATGATATAAACATTTTTATAATGAGCTATTATTAAAGTATTTCTAATTTAAACTAAACTCTATACATATAACTTTTCTAAAAATAAAATTAAAATAATAAAAATAAACGAAAACGCAAAGAAATGAATAAAAAAAAAAATAACTAAAAGAATATTAAAAATAACTTTTTTCCACAAAAAATAAAGTATATATTAAATATAAAAATCTATATTTATATTCAACAGAATGATTAATAATTCAACATATTAGGATGAGTGACCCACAATATATACGTTATTTTATCCATTACATTTTTTAATCGATAATTTCATTTTTCTAATTTTAAACCAATGATGACATTATTGAAAGTTGTGTGTGACGTCACACATTGTGAACTACATATTCATTTAAAAATCAGTAATAAATTTTCACGCCGATTTGAACCAATTAAAAGGAAATAAAAATAATTAATGAAAATTCAGCATTTCTTTAGAAATATGATAATATATATTGAATGTCCCAGATTCTCAGTGACTATATAATGAAGAAAAATAGAATATAATGAATTGCTCTAAACTTATATTTTATATATATATATATTATAAAAGCAATTAAGACATTTGTAAAAATTTGAAATAAATTGAATCTCGTTTGAGAAAAATAATAATCATAAAATATATTGTTTTTCATTCACTAAAACCTTTTCACGTTTTTAATATAGTGACAATGTTCAATTAATTTTCAGCTATATTTTTATTTACTTAAAATTCTCATTTAGCGAGAAATAAAAATTCTATTGTTTATAAATTTGATCAATTATAAATTCTATTAAACAAAAATAGCAATTTATATGATATGATCAAATTCTCAATTTAAAATCTAATCTTGTGAGTAAATGAAAATTAATTTATCGAAGTGGACTATTGTATGATTCATATTTCTGTATCATATAATGGTTATGAGGAATAACTTGGTTGCATATTGTTATGATATGATATCAGCCATCTGATTCATAACTATAACACTTTAGATGAAAGTAGAATGCATAACAATGGAAGGCGGTTCACCAACAGGAAGTATGATATCGATTAATAATGCTAATGAAGCATTTTGTGTAACTTGGAGGAGGCATTTGGAATTGAATTATCATTAACTTACATCAAGAGTAGATCAACGTTAATTTTCTTTAAAAACATCAGACATTGTTACTTTCAAAACATTATGTTTCAAATTTCAAAATTTTCAGTTATTTATTTTTTAGGAATAATATATATATAGATTATATTCTTTAATGGGAGCTAAAATTATATAAGGATTCATATCCTTGTAATAATATAAGAAATAAAAATACAATTCATTTCAGTTGTATTTACATAATGCAGACAGAATTTAATGTCACAGAATGAATAAAACAATATTGAAAATTGGATCCGATTGTTTGTTTTGATTTTCAATCGAGTGAGATCAACAAAGTACTTTTGATTAAACAGCGTTTCAACAAGTCCAATTAATGATGAATTTAGAAGAGTTCAAACTAAAAAAAAAAAAAATGAATCGTCAGTTGTTGATGAAGTTGCCGCGAGTAATTATCGCTAATTGTCAAATCGTTAAAGGGTTTCTTCCGGTTTTCTTTAATTAATGAAATTGCATTTTAGCCATAAGAGTCTATTATTGGGCAAATTGTTAATTGCGTTAACCTTAATTGTGGTTTATTTTAATTGTATACACTATAAACGAATACAACAGATATTTATATAAATATTTATTATAAAAATAAATACTTAGAATAGAGTATTAAAAATCCTAGGGATTTTAACAAAAAATTTTTTCACAATACAAAAATTTTAAATAATTTTTTGTACCCTCAACAGATGACAAAATTACACTTTTGTTTTGTCCCTGGAAAAAATAGATTGTATAAAGAAAACAAACTGACACGAATTTATATTTGTTATACACTTATAGAAATTGGTACAGACATTTTTCTCTATAATCTATTCATACCATATGATCTCTATGTAAAGAAAACTGACAAATAATGATTATTTTTACCATAAAATGTTGATATAAAATTCCGACAAAATTAATCAACAAATTTGTAATGAAGATTTCACTATTATGAATAATATAATGCCACTGTAAAAAGAAAGTACTAAAACAGTAGCGATTTTAGGTATCAAAATAGAACAAAATTAGTATCTAAAGTTGGTATTGAATTTTGTTGTCAAATTATAAAATAACAGATACAAGAAAAGAAAAAAACGTAAACAGAAACACCAATGAATCTATTACATAATCAATTTATATTGATCATATCTTGAAAATGAATTCTTTTATTTTCATTTGTTAATAAAATAAAAAATCGGATATACATCTCTGATGATATTACGACCCATAAAATGATGACCTTCAACTAAATAGGAAAAATTGACTGACACATTTCTATCAGTGTATCTTAATTGTTAATTTTTTTTCTGTTATCCTAACATTGTATCGAATGTAAATTTACATACCGTGGGCATCAATTGATCAGTAGATCTAACCCGTGTAACCTTGTTCCTATAAAGTATCCTCTTGACGAGTTTCTCCATCGGCTGATTCCACTTCATAAAGCCAACATATAGAAGATAGAAACCGAATAGCACAAGAGCCTCATACCAATGTATATAGTTATCGCGAAAGAAATAGATTAGGGTAATGAGGCTAATGCTGTAAAAGCTGCAATCGCGAAAGAGTGGCCACCATGTGAGCGTGAGTACGGTCCTTGAGAAGATGGCACACATGCCGATGACAAAAAGAATATTAAAAACTGCCGATCCGACGATGGTACCAATTCCTACGTCGTCGAACGAGACGAACACCCCAATGATCGAGGTAAATAGCTCAGGGGCGGAACCCCCCGCTGCCATGAATGTGGCACCGGCCACATCATCGGCGATCTCAAGTTTCTCGATAATCACGTCAAGGGACGGCACGAAGAATTCGTCACAGACAATTGCCAAGGCGACAAACATATACACAACGCCCACAACGTGAAAAATAACAGCACCACGACGTCGTTCTTGAAGCGTGAAGAAATCTTTTGGAAACAACGGCGCCTTCTCCTCTGACATATTCCCGCCGACTTTTTTATGATGATGATGATGAATCGAGCTATTATATCCCTCCACATCCTCAATATTGTCAATGAATGACTTGGTACTTCTCTCAGTCGAAATTGGGGATGTCTCATTGGGAAGGATTGTGGATATACTCTGCTGAAGTGGAACCGGAGTGTTGGGTGCAGGCCGATGTCCCATTGATGACAATGGACTCATGGCCAACATCAGCAATGTCACCAGCAGTGCCGAGCTCCAAAGCCGGTCACGGTCTCCAATGGAAACTGTGCGTCCATAAGAACCTGCAGGAACAGAACCTGCAGGACGAGGACGTTTTTGTTCCGCCTCCTGCATCGTGTGTCGCTCGGAGGTCGCACCTCAGGGAAGCCCAGTTAAAGGTCGGGTCATGCCGTCGAGACAAGTGGCGGTCGCATCCTCTTCTCTCTCCTGATAAGGAGTCACTTATTTTCAGGTAATCAGTTTCGTTTTCTCGACAACTTTCCTCCTCAATCACACGAGCAATTATCGTCAATCGCTCTTCTTTTTCCTCCTCCTCGTCGTCACTCTCAACCGTTGTTTCCTCCACGTCGTCGTTGTCTTCTTTCTCGCGCTCACTGAAATAACGTTCACGATGTTTGGATGGCATATACCCCAATATATGTTCCACAGGAGCAGCAGAACGGCGCCCCCGCCGCGATGCCCGCCCGCTGCACACTGGAACCAACCCTGTTCCGTTCCTTTCCGTTCGTGTCTCGTTCTTGCCTTTCTCGCGTACCCCGTTACACACTCGACTGTCCTCTTTCCTCTTTCGCGAGTACCAACACCACTTCTTTCTGCCCTCTCGCTCCACACAGAGGTGGTAGGTCGCAGAAGCTAGCGGATGAGAGAAAATGAGTGCGCGCGCGCGCAACCCCTCGCCGGGACTCTCGCTCGATATCGGAGTCAACTCTCTCTCCTACAACAACTACTACAGGAGTGCTACACCAGAGAATATAACGGGTGTCGCCTGTTCAGACTCCTTTCACCAACACTAGAGAGCCTCTTGTGTGAACCTTCCTTCCTTCCTACCTACCTCTCCTACCCAACTTCCTTCCTTCCCTTATAGTAATTCCCTTCGTCTCGATCAACTAATAATGGCCGATAACCAATCAATACTAGCCCAAACGTTTAAGTCCCACCTCCTGTTAATTTCCAAAAAAAAAAAAACCTCAATCAACTTCATTTTCTAATCATTTTACTCACTCATTGATATTACAATATGCTAACAGAATCAGAAGAATTTAAACTTTTTTCCATATATCTGATCGTTCACTATTTTTCACCTTCTAAAATTACAACTGACATTTCTATGTATATTGTTTACAAAAAAATCAATAGCAAATTTTTAATATAGATGGGATTTAAGTGTGTGCTTGAATCTCTCGATCGCTCTTGTGGCCTTTACTTGTTTCCTTCCTTCCTTTCCTTTCCTTTCCTTTCTATATATATACAGTTTTCATCTACTCCGGGAGGTTCAATGGCTCCCAGAGTCATGAACGAGCCAACTAATCAACGACAGTGATTCTTCTCAATTCAAAAAACCAATAGGACGTTAGAGACTTTAAGTAGCTAAAGAGATTAGTAAATTTCCATTCTATCCGAGTATTAATCAACAACGAAGAATAATAATAATTGTTTCTTACATAGAGTCATCATTATATCGACATAATTTTTTTTTTATCTCCCTATATATGAAAACCGAAAGTAGGATATACATCAAAAGAAACTAGAAAAAACAGATAAAGAAAACAATTAAAATTTAAATAAATTATGTAAGATTATAAAAATGTAAATCTGTTAGTAGATTCCTACAAAAAATTTATGCACTGAGAGAAAATATTGGTTGATGGGATTACCATTTTTGAGATAACTTTTTTTTTTTAGTAAACTATACTACTGCTCATTTATTAGCTGTGGTTACTATTTTTATTGGTTAGCATAACTATTTTATTAGTAGATTAAATTAATTAGTTTATTGGAATAACTATTTAGTTACCTTACTAACGAAATGGTTAGGTCTGACTAAATAGTAACAGCAACTAATATAAATTAGCAACAATACTCTTACTAACGAAATGATAATCACAATCAATCGTTTCTCTAAGTGTGGGGTACTTTTTTACAGGATCATTATCATCCGATCTACAATGGACCAAAGTGGACAAAAAATTTGGAAACTTTAAATTTTCGAGATAAACTCTCGGCAATACCAGAAGAATTATTCCTAAATAGTACTCAACAAAAAATGTACAGGACAATTTTTGATAGGATTATTATTCTCCGACCTACAAGGGACAAAGTGGGCAAAATAAAGTAATAAAGTTGTCATAAAATAAACAGAATATATATAAATATATAATATAATATATAGATAATAATAAATTAAAAATAATAAATATATTTACATATTCCTGAAAAAAAATGATTAATATAATTAATAAATTAAAATTGTTTCTCACCACGATGACTTAACTGGAAATAATAGTCAATTAAACAAATAAAAAACAATATTTCATAACAATTCAAAAAATTATAAATAATAAAATAAAATATAAAGCAACACAGTGACAAAAAAGATAAAAGATTCATAAAAAATGTATTTTCACCGGTACTCCAGTTACTTGTATTTTACTTACTTTTTTACTTTTCCCGATTTCCCTACCTACCAGCTATATTTAAAACGAAAAAAAAATGCTTTTACTTTTCCCGATTTCCCTACCTACTGATTTATCTAAAACGAACAAAAATTTTACCGCCCAGGTGCAAAATGACCTACACTAGAGTTAACGTCCCGGGACGCAACCGACACCTGAACGGTCTTTCCTGAAATGAAAACTTTTAAATTAGTATTTTATTAAAATTATCAAAAAAATTTTACTTTTAAATTCCACATGCATTAATTTTTACAATTAAATAAAAAGTTTAATGTACAAAATTGAACAATATTTTTGAAAAGATTAAAATGAATATAGAATGTGATAAATGTAATTTTAATATTTTTATTTTTTAAATGAAAGAATATTAATTTGACTCATAAGAAAAATTACAGAACATTATAAACATTGAACAAATAAAAAAAAACATTGACAATTATATTAATTTACGTAGTAACTAAGGGGTCATTCACAAAACATGTGATATTTTAAGATTTGGGGGGACGGGTGTCAGCAATTTTGGGGGAAAGGGGTAAATTTCCTAAAATATCATATGTTTCTTATGGATGACCTCTAAAAAATACTACGAAATAATATATTTTGTCAATGGTGTCACTATGTTGCCAAATTCCTTCCCTGTTTTTAAAAAAAAAATTTATAATTTCACTTAGATCAATAATATTATTAATTTTTTTTTTTTTAAATGAAGAAAATTATTGCAAAGTTCTTAAATTATTATTAAAATATTTGCTTTCAATTTACAAGTTAATTTATTTTTATTGAATTTAGTTGAAGGATATATGAATTAATAAACTATTTTAAACAGGGAAGGGATTAAATAAAAAACGACTCACCGATCGGCGAATCCCACGTCGGGGCAACGGTTACATCGCCACTTCTCGACCGCTTCTGGACCACTCCACGGAGATCCCTCCCATATTGCACATCTGCGGGAGACCAGGAGTTATGCTACCAAGCAAAAACAAAAATATATAAAAAATAGACTACTTTTGGAATAATTGGTAGCATGCAGGGGCCACTTTTTCTTCCTCCACATCCTTCCTGTCCTTCAGAGATTATTATTGTTTGGGCATGATCTGAAAATAAAAAAAAATTCACGCATATAAAAAAAAAACTGAAAAAAAATTAACACTAAAAAGATTTAAGTCTCTTATATCATCAGCTGCAAAAGGCGTCTTTATTTACATAATTAATTATTAAAAATAACTTTATGCAATTAATAAACAATTTTGTCGTAAATTTTAAATTATTTTCAAATTTAATTTTGTATAAAATGAACTATTGTGAAAAAAAGGATTTACCTTAAGCGATTTTCAGCGTCGTGGTAGGTATATACGATGACAGCATTCTTGTTTCTTTAAAAAAGACGAATCTTCTCTCTCTTGGAGCAACTAGCTGAAAATTTTTAAGGAAAGATATAATAAACGCGCGAAAGATTTACGTCTCTTCAAGTTTCAAAAGGCAAAGTCGCGTTTCTATTAATTTATTGATTAATTATAAAAAAAAATTTTTTGTCATGAATTTTACGTTATTTTTAAATTTAATTTTTAAGTGTATAAAATTAATTATTGAAAGAAAAAATTTACCTTCAGCGATTTTCCGCATCGTGGTAGATATACGATGACAGCATTCTTTTTTCTTCAAAAAGACAAATCTTCTCTCTCCTGGACCAACTGGCTGGAAATTTTTAAGAAAATATATAAAAATAATCCATTATATTCTATACGAAATATAATATTGCAAATCCTAAATTAGCATTGAGATCTAAAATCACGTGAAAATGACCACGTGGTATCAGCCATATTGATTTTTTATCCCTTTCTTCAACATTTTTATTGAAGAAGAAACAGAACAAAATATGGCTTCAGTTCCCAATTGTATTATCAGTTATACATATTAATTATAATTCTGTTTCTTTTTTAACTATTAATATCATAATTTTTCAATAGAAAAATTTATGGAAAAAATTAATAAATAATAAACTTACATTGAACTGCGACTCAGCTATGCCAGATCTCCTCCAGGAGCTGCTCCGCAACAAACACCTTTCCTTCCAGAACCGTACGCCTACAAATTCACTCTGAAATAAATAAATAACGCATTATTTACTTATTGAAAAGAAAACAAATATACATTTTTGTTTACAAACTCAGAAACCTATTTCTCACATCCATAAAAATAATGTTACGTGAAATTAAATAGCATAAATTACGCATCAGCAAACACCCAATTGAATCATGCGTTATTTGAATTAAAGTTTAATTGCTATAAAAAAAATTCTTAACTTTTCGCTCTACATATTCAATCATCAAGTGCCTTACTTACTTCGCAATACTTAGTAAATTCACTTAATTTCATAATTTAAACATAAGTTATTCAATATACCTTGACCTATGTTAATTATTGTTATTGAATACCTAACAATAAAAAAAAATTAATTTTAAAAATAGGAGAATAGTTTTTCATTTCAATAATTAAAAAAAAAAAATTCTTTAACATTAATAAACTTTAAATTAATTTTAATAAATTTTGTATTTATATACAAAAAGTGCATTATTAAAGCTACCTACATTTTTAAAAGATTATCTAGCAAGAATTTAATTTTTCAAAGAGTGCAAGAAAAAAAATGATCACGTCCCTTACATAAGAGA